GAGGTAAGAAGTGGGCAGACACCCTGCGGCAGTGTAACGTGGCCACAGCTCCCCCGAACAGGCAGGGCCTTGGCCCTGCTCTGAACGTTCTGTGAGCTGGGGGTGGAAATACTGTTTGCTGGCGCTCCGGGTTACCAGCCACAGTAGCAGCACGGGTGGGTCAGCCTTTCTTTTGACGTAGTTCTTCACCCATCTAGGAATGTGCCATAAGCAGGTGATGGGTCACGTGGATAAAGATTTATGCAGTAAGGGTGTACATGGCAGTCTTTATAAAACAGAATTGAAGACAGCTTATGCAGTCTAACGAAGGATTCTGTAACATGAGGAAATGCTTGTGATGTTGACTTTTTAAAAAGCATTGAGGGGGGACTTCCCTGGTGGCACAGTGGTTAAGGATCTGCCTGCCAGTGCAGGGGACATGGGTTCGAGCCCTGCTCCGGGAAGATCCCACATGCTGCGGAACAACTAAGCTCGTGCGCCACAACTGCTGAGCCTGTGCTCTAGAGCCTGCGAGCCACAAGTACTGAAGCCCGCACCCCTAGAGCCCGTGCTCCACAGCAAGAGAAGCCACCGCAATGAGAAGCCTGCGCACCGCAACGAAGAGCAGCCCCCGCTCTCCACAACTAGAGAAAGCCCGCGTGCAGCAACGAAGACCCAACGCGGCCAAAAATAAATTAGTTAATTATTTTTAAAAAGTCAGTAGGGAGACTTCCCTGGTGGCCCAGTGGTTAGGACTTGGCGTCTCCAACTGCCGGGGGCACGGGTTCCATCCCTGGTCGGGGTGCTAAGGTCCCGCAAGCCATGAGGTGCAGCCAAAAAATAAAAATAAAAAGCAGTAGGGAAAAAAGGCCACAGACAAAGCTGGGCAAATGGGTTGGCTTTTTAAGTATATATTCATCTGTGAACAGACAAAGGGCTAGAAAGGAAATACACAATTTTTAGCACGCCAGTGACGATCTGAATTGGGATTAGGAGCAGGGGTTTACTCTCTTCTTCCACGAGGGTTCTGCGGTGAACATTTGATTTTTAATTCCTTCACCTTAGTGTCTGGGAGTGTCTGAGTAGGACTTCTCTGTGGAGGAAGGAGTATGTGTTGGGAACGCTGGGAGGGGCGGTCTTCTCTGGTCGCTGCGCCGAGATGCCCAGCTGGCTGGATGGCAGCCATGACCTTTAGCGGAGTGTGTTTCGGGTGTTGTGAGACACGTGTTGGTCTGATGCGGTCTGTGTGAGAAACGTGAATGGTTCCTTTCTCGAGGACACACCAGAAAGGAGAAAGGCTCTTTTTTTCCCCCTCATTGTTTTTCCTCTTTCTAAATTACAGCTGCTGGCCGATCAGAACCTCAAGTTTATTGACCCATTCTGCAAGGTGGCCGCCAAGACTAAGGAGTAAGTCGTCCACGTGTGTTTTTACTGCTTCGGTCGGTGCTTCATTATGGGAGGTGGTGGTAAAATTGTAGGTGAAGCATGGCGCACAGGCCCTCCAAAGCTAAGAACAGCTGCGCGGCGTTGGAAGGAAGCTCTGAGTCGTGGCTGGGCCCCCCAGCGGCTCCAGGAACCTCGCCCTCCCATCGCCCGGGCTTCCTCCCACCCCCCCGTCCCTCCGCCTGGCACATGGCGCCGAGCTGGCCCCTGGCGGCTGCAGCTGGTTGGCACGGGGGTGTGGTTAGAAACGCGGGTGCCGGCCGCTGGGCCCAGCGGGTCCCCGGGGGGCTGGACGGGGTGTGTGGTGACTTCCTCCACCTCCCGGCCCTCTGTGCTCCTTTAGGGAACCAAGTCCAGGCCGACTGTTAACCACACTCTCTCTGCTGTGCTTCTGCCCTCAGCCAGACTCTGGTACAGACTATAGCTAGGGGTGTTTTTGAAGTCATTGTAGATCAGTCTCCTTTTGCACCTGAAGAGACGGTCGAGGAACAGAAAACCAAAGTGGGCGACAGTGACCTCTCTGAGGAAGGGACGTCTGGAAGTGAGACGACGTGGAGAACAGCCATCAGTAGAAAGAAAACAGGTAACAGAATTTACTTGAAGAGTCTTTCTTAGGTAAGGTTCACTCAGAGGAACACTTTTTAATACATTTGTTGCCAGCTCACTGACTACACCCTGGGATTCATCAGAGGTGCCTCTGCCTTGGCCGCCACCTGAGAACGGAAGTAGGGCTGTATTTAGACACTCGGGTCCAGGGCCCCTGGTTACACTGGGGCTCATGCACAGTTCTGCAGTTCCCAGGGTCGCAGGGCTTTCTTCAAGGGTTTTGTCATTTTTCTTGCCGTTGCTTTGGGTTTTGTGTGTTTTTGTTGTTTCAGCTTTTTTTTTTTTTTTTTTGGCTGCGTAACAAGGCTTGTGGGATCTTTGTTCCCCGAACAGGATTGAACCCAGGCCCTCGGCAGTGAAACCACTGAGTCTTAACCAGTCTTAACCACTTGACTGCCAGGGAGTTCCTTCGGCTTTTTTGATGTGTTTAAAAATCTTAATGTGGTCTTGTGTCTGTAAGAGGGTCCCTGACTGGAGACCTGATTTACTGTTGCATTGGGAATGCATGCTTGTTTGTGCAGCTCTCCTTTCTGTCTCCGAGTTCCTCCAGGGTTCTTTTTCTTCGGGTGTATAAATAACCACTGTGGATGGACCCTGTTCTCAGCGCTGTTTGTATCCGTGGGAATTGCGTGGGGCATTTAAAATGTAGCCTCATCAGAACTCATGTTGGTTTTCAGCATCTTGGTGCCACGGTGTCAGGTAAAGGGCTAGTTCAGGTTGTACCCACGCTTTTGAAATGTTCTAGAGCCATTGAAAAGGAAAGTTTTCAAAAACTAATAGAGAAAATATAATGTTTAAAAATTTTTTATAGCAGGACCAAAAAACTCTGTGTAGAAGGTGCCTGATTTGTATATTTAGACATATGCATATAAACATGTACGTATGTATCCGGAAGGATATACACCAAGAGCTAGCCCTACGTGGCAAAATTGTGGGTGATTTCTATTTTCTTTGTACTTTTGTCTGTTTTTTCTAAGTTTTCTTCAATGATCATATATTGTTTACTCAGGAAAAGACAAATCTTTGAAAAAGAAAAGATAAAATATTCCAACTGTAAGCTCAGCACGAGTGACAGCTCACTGAATGGCCTTGAGCACGTTTTGACTTGGCTCTGGCCCTCTCCTTCCGCCACGTCTGTGTCTGAACTAGAGCCGTTCCCCCTCTTCCCTGAGCGCTTCCCAAGATTCCCCCACAGGTTCTTCATCAGATGCTTGTGGGGCCCGCCAGGTCTCCTCCGGGCTCTGCCCTGAGGCCACACCACTCAGGAGCTGGTAGGATTCCAGAGACGGGACACCTTTGAGAGCTTGTGTGATTTCAATAGTAATTTCTATCTGCTTCTCCATGAGCTTTAATGCTCTTTGGATTATTTCTTAAATGCCAGAGTCACGTAAACATCAGTCTGTTGTGTTTCCTGAGGCAGCCCCCTGAGAGTCAGTGTGCTACTGTAGAGAGTTCACCACAGCCTCAGCTTTCCTGAGACTAGGGACAGACCCTGTCTGCCCTGCTCCCACTGGCCTGAGCCCCGGCCCACGTGTTTCCTGTCCACCTCCACTGCACTCCACAGTGGGGTTTTGTCTATGAGGTAATCAAAAGGCAAAATGTGTGATTTCTCCCAGATGTTTTTTTTTTTTTTTAATGTCCCAGGACTAAAAAACCAAAACATCTTTGGGAGATTTTATAAATGTACTTGCAGGGTTTTGTCTGTAAAGAAATGTTCTTTTGGGGACTTCCCTGGTGGTCCAGTGGATAAGGCTCCGAGCTCCCAATGCAGGGGCCCCAGGTTCCATCCCTGGTCGGGGAGCTAGATCCCAAGTGCCTCAGCTAAGACCTGGCGCAGCCAAATAAATAAATAAATATTTTTTTTTTTAAGGAAAAGAAAAAGAAATGTTGTTTTTCACTGAGAGGCACCTAATTGGATGGTGGGTGGCTCCTTTGGGGGTAGCCATGGCCGTGTATTTGAGTTGTGTCTGTGGATGTGTTCCTTGATAGCACTGGGCAGACATCACTGCAGAAAAGAGGGAGTCGCTGAGGAAGGCAGACGGGGCGGCGGCGGAGGCGTGGAGGACGCCGGGCTGCTTCTCCAGGTTGGTAGCAGGTGTTGCTTTTTGTAGAATATGGGTTTGCTGTGGAGCCATCTGGCTGCTGGGGAATTAGGGTCAGAGCTGATTAAACCACATGCCTAATGCGTAAGGTTTTTTTTAATCCCTCAGTCACTGGTGCCTTTTTTGTAATGAGCTTATTGGAGACAAAGAGATTTAAGTATGATGGCAATTTGAAAGATGTCAGTCTTCGTTTTGGCCTGAATTACTAAGATCTGCTCTGTTCCATACAACAAAGCGAGCCCAGTGGTACTTTTCGAATAAAGGAGGCTTACTACGATACCAAGTACAAATTGAACATCTAGATTCAATTTACAGAACAGCGTAGCACACCCAACTGAATTTTCAGATAGAAGAAATAGAACAAATAAAGACTAGCTTCTTCTGAGAACAAATAGAAGGAAGTTTTCAAAGGCAGCGCTTAGGCTTCTGGCTGGCAGGCCTCAGGCATGCTGTGTGCACCGTCCTGTTGGGGGATGCTTCCAGAACCCCGAACTCTGGCTTTCCTGTCTCTAGTCGATGTGATTTCCAAGCCAGGCAGCCTTGTGCTTTGGGCTGATGTTTAGTTTTTCTTCTCACGTAGTTTGACTACAAGGCAGTTGCTGACCGACTCCTGGAAATAACCAACAGGAAAAACATCCCTCCCTTCAACAGGAAGCGTCTCTCCAAGCTGATTAAACAGTAAGTGATCGGGAAAGAAGGTTTCACCTGATCGTCGTTTGTGTTCAAGTCCGGCCCTTTTGTTCTTGCCGCGAGATGCGCTGCCCCTGTGCTTTACCCTTGTTCTCGGTCCTGTAATATTATTAGTCACAGTCTTGCAGTGCCCACACATAAACTGAAAGATTCTGTCAAAACAGCCGCTCCCCTGCCCCTCAAGTTCATTATTTCTCCCAGATGTTTTTTTTTTTTTTTAATGTCCCAGGACTAAAAAACCAAAACATCTTTGGGAGATTTTATAAATGTACTTGCAGGGTTTTGTCTGTAAAGAAATGTTCTTTTGGGGACTTCCCTGGTGGTCCAGTGGATAAGGCTCCGAGCTCCCAATGCAGGGGCCCCAGGTTCCATCCCTGGTCGGGGAGCTAGATCCCAAGTGCCTCAGCTAAGACCTGGCGCAGCCAAATAAATAAATAAATATTTTTTTTTTAAGGAAAAGAAAAAGAAATGTTGTTTTTCACTGAGAGGCACCTAATTGGATGGTGGGTGGCTCCTTTGGGGGTAGCCATGGCCGTGTATTTGAGTTGTGTCTGTGGATGTGTTCCTTGATAGCACTGGGCAGACATCACTGCAGAAAAGAGGGAGTCGCTGAGGAAGGCAGACGGGGCGGCGGCGGAGGCGTGGAGGACGCCGGGCTGCTTCTCCAGGTTGGTAGCAGGTGTTGCTTTTTGTAGAATATGGGTTTGCTGTGGAGCCATCTGGCTGCTGGGGAATTAGGGTCAGAGCTGATTAAACCACATGCCTAATGCGTAAGGTTTTTTTTAATCCCTCAGTCACTGGTGCCTTTTTTGTAATGAGCTTATTGGAGACAAAGAGATTTAAGTATGATGGCAATTTGAAAGATGTCAGTCTTCGTTTTGGCCTGAATTACTAAGATCTGCTCTGTTCCATACAACAAAGCGAGCCCAGTGGTACTTTTCGAATAAAGGAGGCTTACTACGATACCAAGTACAAATTGAACATCTAGATTCAATTTACAGAACAGCGTAGCACACCCAACTGAATTTTCAGATAGAAGAAATAGAACAAATAAAGACTAGCTTCTTCTGAGAACAAATAGAAGGAAGTTTTCAAAGGCAGCGCTTAGGCTTCTGGCTGGCAGGCCTCAGGCATGCTGTGTGCACCGTCCTGTTGGGGGATGCTTCCAGAACCCCGAACTCTGGCTTTCCTGTCTCTAGTCGATGTGATTTCCAAGCCAGGCAGCCTTGTGCTTTGGGCTGATGTTTAGTTTTTCTTCTCACGTAGTTTGACTACAAGGCAGTTGCTGACCGACTCCTGGAAATAACCAACAGGAAAAACATCCCTCCCTTCAACAGGAAGCGTCTCTCCAAGCTGATTAAACAGTAAGTGATCGGGAAAGAAGGTTTCACCTGATCGTCGTTTGTGTTCAAGTCCGGCCCTTTTGTTCTTGCCGCGAGATGCGCTGCCCCTGTGCTTTACCCTTGTTCTCGGTCCTGTAATATTATTAGTCACAGTCTTGCAGTGCCCACACATAAACTGAAAGATTCTGTCAAAACAGCCGCTCCCCTGCCCCTCAAGTTCATTCTGCAGAGGCAGCTAAACCCACCTCTTAGCTGTTTCGTGATGATGTAGAAGGAAGCCTGTGGAGAACGTGTAAAGTCTACTAATCAAGAAATTGCAGTGTGGTTGGGGTAGCGTTTCAGCTATTTCCCCCTCCCCGCCCTCCAGCTCCCACTTTGTCTGCCAGAAGTGTGGTTGTGACACCATTACAACCATTCAGGTAATTCGCTGCGCAGCCCCCGGGCTTGGGACTCATGACAGGTAACAGCCGAACTTCATCACACACTCTGAGCCGGCCCTGTTCTGAGCAGCGCACACAGCTCACTTCACGTTCGGGACGGCACCACAGGGCGGCTTCTGTCACTGCCCCGCTTACAGATGAGTTAGCTGGGGCACAGAGAGGCGACCGATGGCCCGGGCTCCCAGCTGCCAGACGCAGCTGGACGCTGGCCTGTCTGCTGCCCAGCGCTGCCGTGCAGCCCACACGCCCCTCACAGCACACGCCCCTCACAACACCTGCCCCTCACGGCACACGGCTCCTCACGGCACACGGCTCCTCACGGCACACGGCTCCTCACGGCACACGCCCCTCACGGCACACGCTCCTCACGGCACACGGCCCTCACGGCACAGGGCTCACAGTTCTTTTTGTTCGAATACATTAGTCGTGTAGAGCAAAACATGGCTAGGCTGTCTCCACTTGGTAACAAAGCAGAGAATGGAATGTAAGTAGAGATGTAAGCTTTTTCAGCCTTACGAAACAAGATTTTAGTTTCTCCGTTTCATTTGGATACGCCAAGACACATCTTTAGATCCTCGTGTCGTTGATGATATGATGACACTTGAGGGCAGTTTTGTCCTTTGTTTCTTGCCCTTGCCTCACACCACCTTCCTCTTCCACCTCCCCTTCTAGGAAAGAAGGAAGCTGAGTTAACAAACTCCAAATATTGCTTCACCCTTTAAGCTTCTGTATGTAAAATGGAAAACAACAAGGTCCTACTGTATAGCACAGGGAACTATACTCAACGTCGTATTATAAACTATGGCGGTAAAGAATGTAAGGGAAGAATATATATGTGTGTATAACTGAGTCACTTTGCTGTAGAGCAGAAACTAGTAACGTTGTAAGTCAACTACACTTCAATACAAATATATTGATAACAAAACACTCAGCTGTGCAGTTAAATGGGTGAATTGTTTAGTATGTGAATTATGTCTCAATAAAGGTTTTATTTTAAGGAAAGACAAGTATCGCTTATATTTTAAAAGGTTAGTGCATATGTTTACAGGAGACGGAAAGACAGGGTTTCTCTAGGAAGCTTTCTTGTTTTCTGTTTCAGATTCCAAGATCTTTCTGAAGGTGAGGAAAATGAGAAGATTACAATTGGTCATGTTCTTAATAAGCGTGGACCCCACAGAGGGCAGTTGTGCCAAATATTGAAAAACAGGATTGAGAGACATGAATTGAAAGCATGAGAAATTAGCCTGCTCAGCTGAGCAGAGGCCCTCGCAGGAACCCGGCGTTGGGCCTTTTCCAGCCCGCCGCCCACCCCCGTCCCGAGACCAGTGCAGAGCCAGACGCGGGCGCGAGCCCCTGGGGCTGGGTGGATTCTTCATGAAGAAGTCAAGCTGATCTCTCAGAGTCCCTTTCATTTGCTGTATGATCAGTCGTCCCCCAGGGGATGCTGCTGCCTGTGAGCTTGGTTACATTTGAGCCAAGTGGACAGTCTGCTGCCCCGTCCCTCGTGCACACAGGGAGCTTAGAATTGGAGGGCCTTGCAGACCTGGCTGAGGTGTAGAGGGTGTCACCCCAGGTCTGCAGTCCCTTGCCTTAGCGGAGAGATCCACAAAGCTTTTTTTTTTTTTAATATATAAATTTATTTATTTTTGGCTGTGTTGGGTCTTCGTTGCTGCACACGGGCTTTCTCTAGTTGCAGCGAGCGGGGGCTACTCTTCGTTGCGGTGCGCGGGCTTCTCATTGCGGTGGCTTCTCGTTGCAGCGCACAGGCTTCAGTAGTTGTGGCACGTGGACTCAGTAGTTGCGGCTCACAGGCTCTAGAGCACAGGCTCAGTAGTTGTGGCGCACGGGCTTAGTTGCTCCGCGGCCTGTGGGATCTTCCCGGGCCAGGGCTCGAACCCGTGTCCCCTTCATTAGCAGGCGAATTCTTAGCCAGTGCACCACCAGGGAAGACGCCACAAAGCGTTTTTAAGTCTGTACTTCCTGTGTCGCAGCTTTCGGGTTGGGGTCGGAGGAGTAGTGAGGGCTTTATGGCAGAAATCAGGGTTAAAACCACCCATGTGACATGGGGAGGGGCGTGGCTCGGAGGCCCTGGGGACAGAGCAGTGCCGGTCTCAGAAAGCTGACCAGAAGGGGCTTTGGTGTCCAGCAGGCAGTATCTCTCACCTCAGTTTTGCTGAGGACACTTCTGGTGATGAAGATGACCAAACCCTCAGTCAAGAGAAGCATAAGAAGAAAGGGAACAAACTTCTGGAGAAAACGGACGTGGAAAGAGGGAAAGGTGAGCCGCAAAGCCCGCAGTCTGTGAGGGTGGGGGTGAAAGGGGGACTGCCTTTGCCGTCCACACGGGTCATCGCAGAGCGGAAGCCATCGCTCTGAGGGGCTGAGACAGAAAGTCTGTCCGAGTGTTTTGCTGTTTCCTGTGGAACCACGTGGCAGCCTCCCTAAAGTAAAGGCATTTACTGACTCCTAGTGGAGAAAGTGGGTGGGGACGGGGGATGCTGGGTGGACAGTGCCCTTCGGAGCATTTGTTTTATTACTGGGCCTGGGCCTGAAAATTAGTAGAAATCGGAATACTATTTCGGATGCATTTATATCAAAGCAGGCCTTAGGAAGGTCTCCGGCCACAGCCGGGGCAGGGAAGAGGTGGCGCCGGGTGAGGAAGCTCGTGGGGCCCGAGGGCGCGGAGGAGGACCTGTTGGGAGACCGTGGGGGCGTGCCCTGCGCTCCCCCACGAGGCCGGCCAGGTGGCCTGGGCACCGGGGCGCTCTCTGACCGGTTTGTGTCTCTAGGAGCCAAGTTCTCTCCTGCCGAGGAAGAGGAGAGCGCAGGCCGCGTTCCAAAGAGAAAAAGGAAAAACAGGAAGAGCCACCTCCGGCCTGAGCACTTGGGGCCGGGTGGTGAGGCCACGTGCCCGGAGCAGGACGGCAGCCGGCAGCCAGAGGCCGGTCCCGGAAGAGCCCAGGAGGCGAGTGCGGCTGAGCTGGGGACGGTGGCCGCGCCCTGCCCCCGGGAGCAGAGCGGCCCGGAGCCCGCCTCCGTGCACAGCAGGAGGCGACGACTGAGGCAGAGGAGCCTGAGGGTCCAGGTGGAGAGCCCAGGGGGAGCGGCCCCGGCTGGCGGCGCCCCGGGCCTGAAGAGGACGCGCGAGCGCGGCGCCCTCCTGGTGAACGGCAGCGGCCCGCCCACCATGGCCCGGCCCCTGCCCCCTCCGGCGAGCCCCGCAGGCAGAGGGGACTGCCCGGCCACCCTGCCCCAGGGCGGGAAGCTGAAGAAAAGGAGGAGGGAGTCCAGCGGCCTTGACCTCCACGACCTGTCTGCTCAGAAAGCTGCCGTTTTGAAAAAGAGGAAGAAAGTGAAAGAGATGTCAAAGTGGGCGGAGCACAGAGGGGTCAAGCTCGTGCAGGCCCTGGTAAGGCGGCTGGGCCCAGGGCAGGGGGCTGGAGCTCCCGGGCAGGAGTGTCAGGGCCCTACCTGCTCAGCCGCTTGCATGGGCAGGGCAGGGGACAGCCAGCCCCGGGCCCAGGGAGCGGTCATGGCTCCGGACAGCCTCTACCAAGGAGCAAGCAGTGACCCCCTCGGTGGCTTCCTCTGCTTCCCCCCCAGCCCCCACCCCTCCGGCTCCGCAGAGGCCAGGGCAGGGCCAGCCTCAGGCTGGGGAGCTGTCCCCGTGGCCAGTCCCAGCAGATAAACAGGCAGGTGTGTATCTCCATCACACGCTGATCTCGTTTTTCTTTTTCAACTCGTGGCCAGTCCTGGCAAAGGCAGAAGCCCCAAATTCTCTTATCTCACTGATGTTTTTAATGAAAAAACTTTTTGTCCACTTGGATCTCTAGAGCCACCTATAGACGGGGACCTGGGCTCTAGGTCTGCGTCTCACACCCTCCTCTCTGGACGTGCAGTGCGTCTGTGCTAGTGGTCTGCAGGCGTCGCCTCCCTAGCACACAGCCTGCCAGCGGCGCCCATGCTGGCCTGGCTGCTTCTGCCTCACGCGGCACAGCTAAGGAGCGTGACAGAGACCTCACGGCCTGCAGAGCCGGAATCGTTTACTCCCTGGCCCTTTTCCAGAACAGGCCAGCTGACCCCTGCCCAGCATGTGTATCTGCATCTCCTGCTTTGCAGCAGTTATGACATCAAGGCCCTTGTCTACAGAGCTTGTGTGGACTGGGTTACACGCTGCTTCCGGGCCTCACGGTGCAGGATCCCTAAGTGGGTCCGTAGTCAGTCTGAGCCAGGGAAACGGCACGCAGCTGGGATTCAGGAAGTCTGTTCTCACCTCGGACCTTCCCTGACTGCCGTGTCAGCTGTGTCCCCTTCTCTGGGCTCCGCAGCCTCTGCCCTTCACCCACTAGGCACTGGTGCTCTTTCTTCACTAAGAATGTCAGAGGGATTTCCTTCGGGTCTCGTTTCTCTGGCCCTGGTAGCCCTCCTCGGAGAGGGTTGGAGCGGCTGCTAAATGAGTCACAGGGTCGAGGGAGGTTTTCCTCCCCAAGGGGTGGCGTGTCTTGTCCATGTGTGCAACACCGTGGGTCCTGGCCAGGAACACCAAGGACTTGCCAAAGCCACCAGTGGGCTGCCTTGGGCTTCCCAGACCCCTGAGACCCCAGGAATAGAGCAGGGCCCGCCGTGGGGTTGTCAGTGTAAAACATCCAGGGGACATTCTGTGTCTGCCTGTCACGGACCCACAGATCCTGGTAGCCTCACACTCTCCCTCCCATGCCAAACTTTCCGTGGGCAGTAATGTCTGATCAGAAATGAGAGAGTGAATTACTGCGTAGTAGATGGTCTCTGAAAGGCAGAGATCTTCAGAACATGGGCATAAGTTTGAAGATGGGTAAAAATGGGTTCTTGTGGCTGAGAAGGTAGACCTCTGGCCATCGGCATGGTGCCAGCGTGGAGAGGCGGGCATTCATGTGTGTGTGGCGTCTGCTCAGGAAGCGAGGTGTTTGTACACCTGGAACAGGAAACGGGGGGCTTGGGGTGAGCTGGTAAGTGGGTCCCACCTTGTGTCTGCTCGCTTCCTACATTCACAGGGGGGTGTGACCCCCATCTCGCCCCTCTGCACACAGGGGAGTGGTGGGGCGCTCAGCCCTTTGAAGCAGCAGCTGAGGACCCAGAAGGACTTCGTGAAGTTTGACGCCTCCTCCTCCCCGAAGCCCCTGTTCTTCAGGAAGGCCAAGGGCAGCGGGGCCGCCACCTCGCCAGGCCCCGGGCTGCAGGTACCCGCCCCCCCGGCCCACCACGGCCACCCGAGGCGCAGACAGGGGCTCTGCGCGCTGGCCTCGGGCCCCGCTTCTGGCCTCTGCCGCCTCCCACGGTGTGCCAGCCTTGTTCAGGCAGCCATTCCGGCCCCGGGCAGCCCGAGGGCTCAGCGGGGAGCTTGAGGTGCAGTCGGTGACACCGTTCCGCGTCGGCGGGACTGGGGTGCCGTGTCCAAGAAGTCGCAGGACTAGGCAACGAGGCGGGGGACAGAAGCTCTGGGGAGTCTGGGTCCGCAGATCTGCCTGGGACACGACGGGGAGCGGTCAGAGCAAGTCGCGGTGGTGGGAGAGGGCGGTCACTGTTTCAGGGCTCAGGAAGGCAGGGCCAGCCGTGCCAGGTGCCCAGGCCGGGCCACTGGGGGTGCGTCCAATCCACCTCCAGGAGACAGAGGTCCTGGCAGAGCCCTTGTGGCGGGCAGGCCGAGCTGACCTGCTGCGGACACCCCCGGCGAGCTCACATTTAAATAGCACCCACTCGAACTGGCAGGGTGACCGCTGCCTGTGTTTCTTTTAAGGTATTTTAGGGATATTTGTTCAATGACTCAAGACTCACACAAGCCAAGTCCCTCTCTTAAAATGTTGATATTAAAGCAAAAATGGTATAAAGTAGAATTATGGGGTTCACACAGGTTTGGGATTCTAAGAAGGATTTGATAAAGTGCCTCATAATGCAGAGTGGGGACGCTTCTAGGAATTTGTCAGGTCGGAAGCAGTTACTTAATTTTGATGAATTGTTCGAACATCCAGTCCGCTTGGAGCCCTCCTGCACAAGACGCTGGGAAGCGCCCGTCCGTTGCCCCCAGAAGTCCGGTTCTGTGACAGGAGCGGGCCCATCGCTCCCCTTACGAGGTCACGGCGGGGCTCGGGGCGAGGCGGATGGAGCTCATGGTGAGCTTCTCTTGCTCCCGGGAGGTTTCAAACACCGAAACTTTGCTCGGCTTTCCTCCCCGGGACCCCAGCGACAGGCAGTTACTGCAGAGTGGGGCCGGCCCGCCGGTGCTGGGCCTGCAACGCGGCCCCCGTGGGCTCTCGGGGCGGCTGGGCCGCTGTCCTTTGCTCCTATCGGTGTCGTTTTCTTCTGCAGCCACACAGGACGCCGTCCAGCTCCAAGAAGGTGACCTTCGGGCTGAACAGGAACACAACGGCGGGTGAGTCGGCGTCCGCTCTGCGGGGCGGGGAGGGCCTGGGCCCGTTGCTGAGTCAGCGGGCGGCCCCACGCTGGGCTGCTCCGGGGCAGCCGGGAGGGCCTCGGCTTCCAGACCTGCCTTCCCTGATTCTGAAGCCCTGTCGGCCCGCGGTCTGGCGGTCTGTCCTGCCTCCACGAAGGTCTGCAGGCTGCC